CCACCTTAGAACATATTCTCTTTAAAAATGAAGACCCACAGGCATCGCCGAGATTCGAATTCGCGATCTCCTGTTTACTAGACAGGCGCTTTAAACAACTAAGACACGGCGGCTCGCTGCATCTCATGTAAGTCACAGAGAGTATGTCTAACTTATAACATTATCTTGTTAAATGTAGCGATACACAGGCACCGATGATATTCGAACTTGCGATCTCTTAGATAGTATGTCCACCTTAAATCATTATCACTTTAAAAATAGCGACCCAGAGGCATCGGGGAGATTCGAACTTGCGATCTCCTGTTTACTAGACAGGCGCTTTAACCATCTAAGCCACGGCACCTCGCTTCTTCTTATGTAATTCACAGAGAGTATGTGTCACTTATAACAATATCTCGTTAAAAGTTGCGACACATAAGCACCGGCGAGATTCGAAATACAGATCACCTGCATAATAGACAGGCGCTTTAACCCACTAATCAATTGCGCCTCGCAACTGCCTACAGAATTCACAGATCGTGTGTACATATTAAAACATTATTTAGTTAAAAACAGCGGCACACAGGCACCAGCGAGATTCGAACTCGCGATCGCCTGTTTACTAGACAGGCGCTTTAACCAACTAAGCCACGGCGCCTCGTTGCTTCTCATGTAATTCACAGAGAGTATGTCTGACTTAGAACATTATCTCTTTAAAAGTAGCGACACACAGGCACCGGCGAGATTCGAACTCGCGATCTCCTATTTACTAGACCACGGCGCCTCGTCTTATCATGTAATTCACAGAGAGTATGTCTAACTTATAACATTATCTCGTTAAATGTAGCGAGACACAGGCACCGACGATATTCGAACTTGCGATCCTTTCGATAGTATGCCCACCTTAGAACATAATCTCTTTAAAAGTAGCGACACACAAGCACCGGCGAGATTCGAAATCGCTTTCACCTGCATAATAGACAGGCGCTTTAAACAACTAATCCATGGCGCCTCGCTACTTCCTACGGAATTCACGGATCGTTCGTCCATATTAAAACATTATTTAGTTAAAAACTGCGGCACACAGGCACCGGCGAGATACGAACTCGCGATCTCCTGTTTACTAGACAGGCGCGTTAACCAACTAAGCCACGGCGCCTGGCTGCTTCTCATGTAATTCAAGAGAGTATGTCTAGAATACACTAGTGGAATTTGGCGATAGCGAAACAATGGAGAAATTTGAACTGGTGACCCCAATTCGACGCTCCCCACAATTCATATTATACAATGTTCCTAAGGAGATTTAGGAGGGTACTTTGAAGTCGGGCCTGTTGGCTAAGAACATATTTTTAGCTGATGGTAATAATAAACCTCATTTTAAACTTGAATTCTCAATCCCGGGCAGAGATAAGCGTTCTAACCACTGGGTCATGTCCATTAACCCCAAAAAATATGAGGATTTCCTCAGTAAAGAATTTTTGTACTTCCAGTTCACTAGGTTAAGTCTGGCCGAGTTCATCTCGATTAAGCAATGCCGAAAGTGTTTTGCCTTCGGGCATACCACCAGGGGTTGTGACCCGAGCAACAAACAACTATGTGATAGATGCGGGGATGTAAAGGAGGAGAACCATCGTTGTAAAGGTAATAATTGCATTAACTGTAGAGAGTCGAACAAAAAACTTAGGACCAACCATAAAACTGATCACAGTTGTCTGGATAGGAACTGTAAGACTCTTATTAGACAGAAAGTATTAGTTATCAAAAGGACTGATTATGGATTATAATTCTCTAAGGGGTGTACAAATTAACGTCAATCACTGTCTAGCAGCTCACACGGGGGCCGTCGTGGTCGCTAGGGACCTCCAGCTTGATTTTATAGCTATCCAGGACCCATATTTGTATAGAGGGGAACCCCCTAAAACTGACTTTGGCTGCAGGATTTTTATGTCGGATAGCAAAAATGCTATCCTATACATTTTTAATAAGAATTTTAACACATTTTTTAAATTCAGCACCACCAATTCGGTGGTGGTTGAGCTACACTTCAATGACTTTATTTTTAATATTTTTAATTGTTATTTTCCCCCACGTGAGGATATTGACTTGATTTTAGAAGATTTTAAAGATTACAACTTCAACAATAGTTTTAATCTCTTAGTGGGGGACTTTAATTGTAAATCCTGCAGCTGGGGCTACGACTCTGACAATTACCGTGGTCGTAAGTTGTCGGAGTTCGTAGTCTCCAATTCCTTACATATTTGTAATATTCCAGAATATGGACCAACTTTCGTCAATTCTATTAATTCGGGGTTCCCCGACTTAACGCTAATAAGTACATCTGTTTCGAATTTTATTAAAAACTGGGGTGTCCTGGATATGGAGTCCCATAGTGATCACAAGTACATTTATTTTCAAATTGTCACAGATAATATTCCAGAGGCTGATTTCTATTTTAAATCCAAATATGGACTGGGCCGATTTATTAAATCTGTTAAAAAACATATCAACCATTTTAAAAGGAAGCTGGCCAATATATCAGACAAAATATATTTTAATGCTTTTATTAAAGACTTTATTGATTTTATCCAAAGGGCAGCTTTCAAAACACTTAAGAAAAAACCTAAAAAATTGGCCCAGAGATTCAGCTTCTGGAATGAGGGCCTCCGGACCGTTCGTAACAAAGTGAATAAGTTATTTAAAATTTATATGAGAGCAAAAGCTAACCATGACAGTGTTGACGCGATCCAGTCTTCCGGGATAGCTTATCGTAAAGCCAGGGCCGAATATAAAAAACTTCTTCTGACCACAAAGAGAAAGGCCTGGGAATCCTACTGCCTTAACTACAATGAACGCTTTGGTACCTTGTTTAATATAGTATTTAACAAACTCAATAGTGGCCATTCAATAGCAGTAAACCCTAATAAAGACCCTAACTTCACAGTTCAAGATAGGATATCTTATATAATGGAAGATTTTTTCCCAGGCCAATATCCTGGGGAGAGTTTGAATTATACCCCTTCTATCGGCCCTGTCGAACCCCTCAATATCGAAGATTTGGAAATAGTTTTTGGCAACTTAAAGGGGGGTAAAGCACCCGGACTGGACCGGATTGATTACCGTATGTGGAGAGCGGTTTTTAACATTGACAAGAATTTTATGCTGGACCTTTTTAACCTGTGTTTTAAATTGAACTACTTTCCGCTTTGTCTTAGAAACGCCAGGATCTTCTTCCTATTGAAAGATGGGAAGGATCCTGGCCTGAGTTCTTCGTACCGGCCGGTCTGCCTGTTACCAACTTTTGGCAAAATTGTAGAAAGGCTCTTTTTAATCCAATTAAATAGATGGCTAGATCGAAACAATATTATACATCCTAATCAATTCGGTTTTTTAGAGGGCAAAAGCTGCGATCTAGCCATCACCCAAATAGTGGAGACAATAAATACGAGAAGACCACTTGAACATCTTGCCCTCGTCTCCCTAGACATCAAATCCGCCTTCGACAATATGAACTGGCCGGTACTTTTTAACATTTTATCCAATTATGGACTTCCTGAGTTTTTTTTATGAATTTCTTATTTTATTACTTGGACAATAGAAAGGTATTTTACGTGAATGAAGTTTTTAAAGTTTTTAAACATTGTTATAGAGGTTGTCCCCAGGGGTCAGTGATTGCGCCTACGCTTTGGAATCTTTACATTAACTCAATTTTATTTAACAATAATGGAGAGTTTTATGTTCAAGCGTTTGCAGATGACCTGGCACTTATCATTGGGGGTCATACGGCCAGAGAACTCGAGAAAAATACTAATCTAGCTCTGGCCAAAATTTCCATCGATCTTGAATCCCTAAAACTATCATTATCTATACATAAGTGCCAGGCCGTGGTTTATCGAAGCATATCATCACAAAGGCTTTCTAAGCGCAATTCGACGATCCTAAATAGAAAACCTACGTTTAAAATCAATAACATCTCGATAAAAATTACCGATAGCCTGAAAATTTTGGGAATATATATTGACCAAAAGCTTTCGTGGACCGCCCACATTAATTCTTTACATGATAAAGTTTTAACTCTTACATCCAATTTTAACAGAATTATCAAATCGGATTGGAGTGTAGACAAAAACCTCATTAAGACCTGGTATCTTACCACCATAGAAAAGTCCCTGCTCTATGGCGCTAGCGTCTGGGGCGGGGCATTAACCAAAATCCAGGCTGATAGGCTACACTCCATCCAACGTGTATGTTTAATAAAATTTACAAGGGGCTATCGTACCACCTCTACCAACGTTTTAAATGTATTATCTGGTATCCCCCACTCCACATAACTGTAGAGGAGGCCGAGTATAAAAAATTTCAGATCTGGCTGAGGCACTCTAATCGATTTAATAATATAACAGACTCTGTACCACTTGATCGCAATATAAATATCAAAAACATACCATCAAACATTAAATATATCTCTCCGCCAGAACAGTTATCAAACCCAGATTATGAGGTATACACGGACGGGTCCAGAATGGATGAGGGTGTGGGGTTCGCCGTGTGTACCTTCAAAAACAACCAGAACTCTGACAACTTTCTATTTAAATTGAATATCTATAATTCTGTCTTTCAAGCGGAACTGGCGGCCATTCAACATGCAGCTAATTGGGCCGCCAGTAACAACCATAAGATCAACATTTTTACAGATAGTCTTTCGTCCATCATGGCCTTAAAGAGTGCCCACTCCAGATCACAGTTTGTCAATACCACTAAACAGATTTTATCTACAGCCAGGGATCTGGTCGGCCTTTCCTGGGTTAAGGCCCATGTGGGCATCCCAGGGAATGAATGGGCCGATCAACATGCAAAACTCGCTATTTCTGTTGGAGAGGAGTTGGAGATTCCGGCT